CCCCACGCGGCTCCGGACGACCCTCCAGCATTTTAATATGCTTGCGAGAAAAACATAGGGGCGCCCCTAGTCCCTGGGCCGCCCCACAAATGCGTCTATGACGTCACGGGAAAAAGAACATTCTAGAAGGATCCGCCAAGCATCGACCGTGTTGTTTCCCGATTTTTCAATGTTCGATCGCGTAATTTCGACGTTCGACTTCGTAGGTGACTTTCGTCGCGGATGCACGTGCTTGGAGGGGACTGGAAAAAGGAAAAGTTGCAAAGTGGAATCTTCGGAATGTGCCACTGACGTGTAACCGGATGCAAAGTGGGATCGCAGCGCGAATACGTGCCCCGTAGGGTTTTCGGTGTGAACGCGCGATAGAGATCGGTGCCTGCTAAATACACGGGAATCGGGCGAGCAGGCGTGTAATTAGCCGATGCATGCGACAGATAGGAAGGAGACGGTCGCGGGCAAGGCGTGGCGCAGGAGGCCTGGACTGCCGCCTTATACGTTCGATGGAGCCCATTGCCATTACGACGTGCGTAGTGCACCGTGCGGGTTATTTTTAGCGAACGCGCTCAGAGTCCATTACGGCTGGGTTACATAAGTGAGTTTCCAGGAGGCTGACGCGGGGTGGGTTGGGAGGCAAAGAGAACCTGGAAAAGCGATCGGATCGATCGAATTCGATCTTCCATGGAAACAGGGGATGCCGGCAGGATGAGTGAGGGTAGGTTGGGTCTCTTTGAAAAATTGTTCAGGGAATGGGGTAGGGCATGGAGGTACAGGTGCGGGGGTAGGGATAATTAAGGATTATGGGGTCGAAGTTTAAGAAATAAGGGGTATATGTACGACAGGGGATGTTTATGGTGAATCTTGGAATCGTCAAGGGGGTAGTACCCCCGGGGTACAGATTTTTTAGGGTAACATTTTTTTTACCACAAATTGTCCCTGCACGTGCGTTTATTTGGGGTTTAGATTGGACCGGAGTAGTAACCCCCCTACCCCTCCGGGTAATTAGATGAGTTTGAGGTTATGTATCGCAGACGCCATTTTTACGCTGGTCCCTCGATGGTTATGGCCGGCCTCCAATCCCTCGCTTGAACCAGCCAGATGTATTGATATATACGTCCCTGCACGCAGTAGTCCTTTTCTCCTCCTGAATTTCTACAGCCAATCGAGAGCGACTCGCGAGAGCTTCCCTTGATTTGCCTAAGTGCAATTTCGTTCCGCTCGGATTACAAAAGTTCTACGGCCCTGTAGTCGATCCGAGAGATTGATGGGTTCTAGAAGGTTTGACTGGCGCGAGAAAAAGACTTCAGTCGGACGATACCTACCTCAAGCGGAATGAGAGTCGGGGGGTGGGCGAGAGAGAGAGAGAGAGAGAGAGAGAGAGAGAGAGAGAGAGAGAGAGAGAGAGAGAGAGAGAGAGAGAGAGA